AGTGCATCTCATACAGACACTAAAGGGTGCATTGTGTGTCCGTATCTGACACTGAGGGCCACTGCACAAGCTAAGTTTTTTGACACCCTGGAAGTAAGAACAGGCTGTTTCAATCATTCTTGTCTGTTACTAAAAGTTGCAGTATTTCAAGGTTAAAGTCCAAGTATACAGCAGAAGCTCTGGGCTTTCCAAGATAAAAACAGTATGTCCTCTTGGGACTTTGGTCGCCAAATGAAACATGCGTTATACTGTGTTATATCTGATGTGGATCTTCCGGTTGTCTTATCAAGCCTGCCTAAAACTCCGGAAGTCCCCTTGTATCCCAAAGGGCTTTTAATCAGACCACCATGATGGCCTTCACCAGCTCCACAGCTCAGTGTCGTAGCCTACTTCTTAACATCTTTAGTTGTTTGGTGATAGACTGCATATATAGACAGCCCATATGGATCAAGTAAACATTTAGAAAAGATACATTTCTTTAGGCTTATGGAAAAACAATCTTGCTATCAAAATCAGTGGGCTGCATTCTTTCTTTTTATACTCCTAAAGATAAAGTGATGCACATCTGGTCCAAGTTGAAGTTATTTCCAGGCTCCAACTTGTTGAGACTGATATATATTGTTTATTTACCCCACAGGTAAGAAGGTCCACTGGGTGTTAATACTACAGAGGAGGAATGAGTGTTATGTAAGAATGTGTGTATGTCAGGACATTGTTTATCATCTCTATGAAGACACCAGCAAACCTGCTCCTGGAACCAGCACACAGCTGAGTCAGCTGGTCTAAAAGGTGCCTGCTATCACAAAAGTCTAAGGTTTTTAACCCCTAACTCCTGTACGACAAGCCCCCAGGAGCCGTGCCAGGCTTTGAAGACAATTTTACATTGTGATAAACTGTGGAATTACAACTTCCTGGTCTGTCGCGAGATGCCATTGAGCCAAAAAAGGCTTTTTCTCATCAACTTACATTGTAAAAGATACGTGCTCGGCTGGTGGAAGTGAGACACTTGGTCACTGGAAGTGTGCTTGCTCTATGGGCCCTATGATGCTAAGGTCTTGGTGATTTCATATTGCGGAAATCAAGCTCTTTTGGCTTTGTGCGCTTCTGAGCAACTTTCTCAGGAATAAACAGTGCCGTATTCGGTTCTCTGAAGCTTACTCATTAACACATTTTATTTAAGCCCCCAGGAACAGTGTCGAGCTTTGAAGCCTATTCTACATAGTGGCCAAACCATGGAATTACACTTTCCAGGTCTGTCAGGTGATACGAGGCCAAAAGAAACTTTTTTTCCATAGACTTACATTGTGAAAGATGTCAATCGGTAGATAATGTTTTTTTGGGCATCACAACCCCCGCGATATGACTAATTTCACTGTTAGGATTTGATCCATTTGGTCCAATAACATTTCTAAAGTCTAGAAAAGTTGCATGATAAATAATTTTATCCCCATTCAAGTTAGCACGCAGTGCTAAACGAGAGTTAGCCACTCAGCTGCTGTTAGTCTCCAATTTGCTTACTCTGTGCTCTCAACAATGCAGAGGCAGAGCAGAAGAAGTTGGAAGTTGAACATTATTGGCTTCATGTGCCAATGAGCAACTTCCATGGGAATGAACGGGACCCTGTTCAACAAGATATGACTTCTTAATTATTGAGCTTTAAAGGAGGTTTTCTATGGATTTGTTACCTCTGGACAGAGCCAGATAAACAATGTCCCCCTGTTCCAGTCTTTATGCTAAGCTAAGCTAACCAGCTGTTGGCTCCAGCTACATATTTAGCATCCAGACATCATGGTGATATCAATCTTCTCATCTGACTCTCAACAAAAAAAATGAATGAACGCATTTCCCAAATGTCAAGCTATTTCTTTAATATTTGTCTTGCTGCACTTTGCTATAAAATCATGAACAAAACAATTGCTTAAAGGGCTCTATTTCTTTTTGTGACTCAGTGAAATTCTTTTCTGTTGTAATTTAAATTTCTTTCGACACTGTCATGTCATGTATGTTACACAATTTAATAAGAGGAAGTCAGTGGAGCCCCAGCTAAGTTTGAAATAATAAGTAAGTCACTGCAAAACTACTGTATGAGGATTGAAATGACTTGCTAGTAAGTGTTTAAAAAATGCAGATTGTCAGCTAGTTTTGCTTACTGAATGTACGGAAGGTAACAGTCCAAACAGTCCAGAGAGCCTGCACAGCCTGCAGACATGAAAGCAGGATCTTGTCATGAACACACAGAATTACTGTTTTGGGTCAAACCTAAATATTTTAATGAAGGAAGATCTTGTGTATAATTAGTTAGACTGCGCTGGCATGTTAATGTAGGCTACCTCTGACTCCTAAAGAAATAAAATGTCAAAGGTGTTCTTTGACATGATGAAGGTGTTTCTCTTTTTCTTTTTTTTCCAACAATGTCTTCAGATTTCATCTTTCATTCCACTGGTTTGTAAAAAAAAAACCAAAACAAAACAACAAAAACAGGTTAACATTTGCACTACCACAAGCTGTCGAAAGCTGTAACTGTACACACAGTTCAGTTTCAGCAGTTGCCACTATTTGCTGTAAACACGACTTTAACTTTTATATAGTTCAACATGGATTTTGAACATGGGCACCACTGGCACTATGTGGGCGTGCAGCTGTCTAAAAATGAGCTGTTTGAGTTTATAGTTAACTTTTACTTGCTGGAGTATAAAACAAATTACACACACACACACACACTGGCAAAAAATGGCCTTGGGTAAGTAGTACAGCAGTGATATGATGCAATGTCTTGTTGTCTTGCATGGCATAAATTCTCACACAGCCGCCAACTTTTACACTGTTAGACCACAAGTAATTGAGGTCTTGTGACAGCAATAATTTTGAAAGGTTATATCTTTTTTATTTTCTCGCAGTGTAATGCACAATAATGCAAATTACATGCCATGTCTGACTGACAGGAATGATAATAAACCTTGATCTGTCTGAGTATCTGTGACTCTACTTGTTCCAGCACCAATCAATACGCATGTTCCTTTGTTTGTTCATGGCATCAGTAAAGAAAACAGAATGCATCACTTGAGCAAACAGCTGAGGTCTGGACATTGACATGGTTTACCTTTAGGGGCATGTCCTTTTACAACTAATCACTATCTTTCAATTCCACTTCTTTGTTAAGCTTGCTGCATATCAATGAACACTATCTCACCAAATGCCCTGAGGAAATATTTAGGCTACACCTGGTTCCCCACCTGTCAAACGAGTTCATATGTGAATGGCAAATGTCTTGAGAAACCACAGTGATATTTAAAGCGTATATGAGTCGTACCGTAAGCACAGAAAGTCTCACAATGACTTAGGTTAAGTCTTTTCAGCCGATGACAATGACCAACATCGGGAGGATAAGTGGCTGGGATTTTGAGGTTGGAAAATCAATGTAATCAATGGCAGTTCATGCCACAAAACATGATACCTTGCACTCTAATGAACATGGAACTTTTATGTGTTAAACCATACTGTCATCTGCTGGAGTTACAATAGTTGGGATAAAAATCCTGAGGCGAAATTTTAAGAAGTGATAGACAAGCTTACAGGAGCAGTGCGGCATGTAGTGATGGGGATTGCTGATTACCACTAGCTGAACTTTCTCCCATGTGTCAAGCATGAACTCCCAGTTAGGATTCCTTCAGTGTCCATTGTTCAGGAGGTACAGTATATACTCGGAGCCGAGTTATCTGCAGAGGTCTCTTTCTCTCTAAAACAAACAGACCAGTTGATTTCAACGGTCTTTTAATCAGTGTTGTTCCCACGCTGTTCTGCTTGTCACAGACAGGCCGCTAGCCCTGCTAAAGTGTGCTCACCTTTTTTCTCTGATAACTCAAGATCCAGACATTCAGGAGGATTTTAGTGGGAGCTGAATTATCCGCAGAGGGTCCTTTCAACCAGTAAAAACACTGAATAAAGCAGTTTCACAGTAAAAAAATTCCTGTTTTTCCTGCACTGTGTGGCTCATTGCGGAGGCCTGCTAACTACTGTGGCCAATGCAAAAATGCTAATGGCTTTACCTAGAGCCAGTGTTTGGTTTATCCATTCTGGATAGAAACATGGTGGTGCAACATAGCAGACTCCATGGACTATGTAGTGTAATGTAAGTTATACATGTGTTCTTTGCACTAAGCACCACTATACTGTTGATAAGCCAGCACTATGTTTATTGGGTTAATTTAGCAGTCTGTAATGTTTTGGTACCATGAACGATAACGCAAATGCTAATACTAGTTTGCTAACTAGCTAATTTGCGGTAGTCATTTCCGGTAAGTGCACAACGGCTGTGTTTGGTTTGAGACAATACTACCCTGTCGAAATTCGCACACTACACCAATGAGTATATAGTGCATTATACTACATGGAATTGTACTCACGGAAGTAGGCCTATGTGATTTAAGACATACTATAGGTATTATTATATGTCGAGGACCTGCTCTCTGTGTAGATATAAATGGCTCATCCCAGGCTAATGAAAACCTGATGTTTTATTTTCACATTATACACAAAGGAAAACTTACTTATTGTTTTATATTCCATCTCCATCAAAACACTGCACTACATTGGAGCTTTAATTTAAAAAATGACTTCTTCTTTATTTATTTTTTTATTCCGCTAAAAGTATGATTTTAAGACTAAACAATGTTATTTTAGCTGCTTAATTACAGGACATTTGTATTAAATTCGAAAAAGTCCATTAAGAATATACATTTTTCGTAGGCTATAGTTTAACAAAACTGGTTGAATGTTTCCAAAACTCAATGTTTTAACACGTTCTAAAGTTTTTTGTTTAATGGAGGCTTCTCTGGATGCCCTCGTGTCTCGCAGCTCTACACCTGTAACCAAAAACAGAAACTGGAACAGAGTAGCAGACCCCCTCCTTGCTTTGTTTTCTGGGCGGATCTTCGGTGCTCGTCTCCACTCCTACCCACAGTTGAGTACTTTAGCAGGCAGTACTCCTCAGGCTGCGCACGTGGAGAGAATAGTACCACAGCTGCAGTTCCACGCGCGCTCCTAACCCGCTTTATGACTACTTTTACCCAGTTGTGTCTCGAGCCCAATGCTGTCAGCGGCGGCGCGTTTCATGCTTTTTTCAGAGCCCTCGCGCGGAAGAAGAAACATTTTTGTAAACCTAAAGACTTTCCGAGAATGAGCCCCGCATAACTCCGGGTGCTCTTGTTGTCTACCCCCTCCTTTCTCTGTCTTTTCCCCCTGTCCCGCGCTCTCAAAGTTGAGTCATTGTACATAAGTATGGTAGATAAAGGCCCCTTGTTGACTTCTGCCATTATTTTTTACCTGTCCATTGGGGCAGCAATTTTTCAAGTCCTCGAGGAGCCCAATTGGAAGCTGGCTGCACAGCAGTATAGTGCCTTGAAGAATAAAATACTTGAGGAGTATCCCTGTCTGACGCAAGATGATTTGGACAAAATATTAAAGGTATGGACATGAGCTTAAACTGAACATTGTTTCTATTGAATCTGTGAAACACACACTGTAAACTGTAAACTGCTGCAGGCTAATATCAGTGCAAAGTGAATCACCTAAAACATGTTAAAATATGGTAATCCTGCAGTTTTGTCCGACTTGTAAAGGGTGACACATGAGGGCTTAATGAGCCTCAGCTGGTATGTAAGCTTTCTCCAAACACTAACAAAACTCTTGAGGAATGAGATGTTGTCAGTGCATGGTTCCTCTTTATGGGTCAACACACCCACACTTGCTTTAGGAGCCTGAAGGCCTAACCTTTGAATTATCACAACACATGTTATATCAATAATCAACAATCATTAAAGTTCCCTGAATTGTCACAAATTCCCCGTAAAGCCTCATTAAAGTTATCTTTGGTGGGGTCCTTATGTCCATGCCTAATGATTAGAATTATTTGATTACCTAGTTGAGATAAGTTGCAGTTGTAAACCGGGACCGACAGTATGTGTATGAGTAGTGATTACTGTATGATACTGGGTGTGAAGGGCCAATCTTTAACCTTGGCCCTCAGAAGCTTGCAGTACATGGTGTTCCATTGCAGATTTCTTGTCAAAATGGCAATTCCATAACCAGTAGTAAAGCTGGTGCCACTGACCCCTGAGGTTTTACCGTCAGCACTGAATGAACACATAGTAAGTCAACATGCCTGTGATTTCACAGGTGTTTGCCCCATGACATGTTGTTTGTTCACTTTCTTGATATGTGTAGCCTTTATGACCTTGACTCCATTTGTCTCAGATGTCTTAGTATGACAAGAAGATATGATCTTAATGTGTCAAGGGAAAGAAGAAGAGTGCAGAGTGCATGTGTTTGCAGTGTAAACAGCAGTGTGTATGCTGCATACCATCTCAGTGGGATCCTTTTCTGTACTAGTAACACTGCAGCCTACAAATTATGTTTGTATACAACTAATCTGACACAGCAAATTTGTCATGAGGGAAATGTAATGCTGAGCAGTTGTGTTTTTATTAACATTATTGTGGAATTTTGCAAAATAATGCAAAATGTTGCTACTGAATATTTTAGCAAAATGTTAACTTAAAACGCAGTTGTTTATTTCCATTGTTTTTTGCAATAGTCTTGCAATGCTGCATTTATCACAGTGACTGCAGCATTGCTTTTTTGATAACCTTTTTTTTTTATTAACATTTAACAAAAATCACAATCTTCCCCTTACATTAACCAAAGTGCATTTGTTGCCTAAACCTAAAACAAGAGTCTGGACAAGTACCTTAAGTTCTCTTAAGTTCTGGTGTCAAGGTCTTGGACTCAGTATGCACACCTTCCCCCCCAGCCATCTTCTTTGGAAGCCTGCACAGTACATGAATGTAGTGTTTGGTTACCTTAAATGAACATTGTCTCTGAATGCAATCTAGTCATTTCCAGGAGACAGGGTTGAACACTGACAGTGGTTTGTTTCTGTCAAGACAGGGATATCAAGCATTTTTGCAATGCCCTTTTTGTGTCTTTTTGCACTTGCAAGAATGACATGACCAGAAACATGTCTCAATCTGTCCCCTTTTTGGGCCCACATCAGTATTAGTGAGATTTATTATCCCACCATCCCCCCTTCTGCTTCCTTCTGCTGCTCCTTTCTGTGTTTAAGGGAAGTGAAAGGGATATGCCCATGACCCCCCCATTAGTGGCATCTCTAACAGCCAAATCCCCACACTGGCCAAATCTACTTCTAAATGTAGTCAGGAATATCATGGTTGAGAGATTTTGGACATTTTCCTTTGGCAGTTGCTGCTGTGGAGCAGCTGAAAGAGCTGTGATTTGGTTGAGCTCTTAGCGGCCACTCAAGTGAAACAGAAACATTTCCTGCTCCTGTGTGCTCTCTGAGAGACAAAGACCACATCATGTCATCTGTGGGGGTTCAAGACACTTTCAAAATCATTGACTTCTTTCCCCAGTTGAACAGTCTGCTGGGCTCACCTCTTATCATTCTACACTTGTAGTTTACAAGGATTTTTCCTCTGTTGGTGTTTGCCAACACACCTGCTTCAAAGGTTTTGGAGTCAGTAAAACGGATAAACATACGGTATATCACCCTGGAGTTGCCTCGATCAACTTTACTTGTGTAAGGAGAAGATGTTCTATAAGGTTTCCATGGTGGAAACTTTGCTCAGCTTGTTAACAATTAAAATATATAAGCAGGCTTAACAAGAGAAGGCGACACTCTTGTAAAAGTTAGTGTTCTCTGTTTTATTAACAAGGAGTTTACTATTAACTATAGGGCCCTTGAAGTGGTCACAGTTTACAGATTGGTTTTTATGGTCCATCAATAACGGCTCTTGAGAAGCTGTTAAAACTTCAGTGGGGTGGTGGTGGCTGCACATTATCTCTACTGCAAATAAGAAGTGAAAACTCAGAGTCCTGGTCGTAGCATGAAGTTGAAGTAGCATGCTTTGTCTTTCAGCATTGCCCAGAAGCACTGTGGACATAGGGAGGTAGGGTTAGGAGGTAGAGAACGCATTCTAAAGTTTACAGCACAGCACATATTCTTGTCTACATTGTACTAAAACGCATGCATGTACAGTATATCTCAATCATAAAAGTGCTGTGTGTTTTCATAGCTCCTTAACAAACTGCCAAGTGTCCCATAATTCCTCAGTTTTGGGCTTTGGTACTTACAACATTACAGCCCCAAACTTACCATGAGCAACTTATACTCATTTAGAAAGAAGGAGCTGCTCCAAATGATTTCATTTGTCTTGGAAGAATAGTTGCCTAGATTAAGCTATAGATAACAATGATTTTTTTTTAAATCACACATGAAACTTGTCATTGGTTATGTGTTCAAATATTAACATTTAAATGGTAATTTAATGCTTAAAAAGTAGGGCTTCTAACTATTGATTGTTGGTGTAAGAAGTGTGAAAAAATACTGTTTTCAATTTTTTAAGCCTTTTTTGCCCAACCGACTGTGGAAAACCCAAATAAATTCAGTTGAATACTGTTGTATAAGACAAGCAAATCCTCCCATTTGACAAGCTGGAACCAGGCTGAAAATTGACCAACTCGATTAATCCATGATCAAAATAGTAGATACATATTCTGTCGATGGACCAATTGTTGCAAGCTCTAATATTGAGCAAAAGTAATTTTAAACAAGAAAAACATTGAATACCATTTAAAAATCAGTCCATCTATATTCCTCTGTACCATATAAATAAAAAAAAGTTGAACTCGTACATAGAATGACATATGATGGGACCTGCTGAAGGCATGAATTCTACAAATACCTCATACAGTGTGTCAGTGAGAAGAGGGTGTATGGTGGTAGGAAAATATTGGGATCAAAGTCTGCAAGGAAGACCATGTGTTCTGGTTTTCTGCCGAAGGAAAAATGCAGTTTTTTTTCAATGATATTTGGAAATTTGGTTTTGCCTTCTTTTTTTCAGAATATTTGGGGCAAGGGTTTACCCTAATGAGTCAGCCTGCAACCTGTGATGCGAACTTGATTTTTTTTTCTTTCCTTGGGGCAGCTTTGGTTTGCACTTTGTTGACTTACCATACCATACCATACCAACTTTATTTATAAAGCACTTTAAAAACCCAGTGGACCAAAGTGCTGTACACAATTAAACATAAAGTGTACAATAGGCATAAGACATAAATTATACATAAATCAAAGCAAAATAAAAACAATAAAGATAAAAACATAAAGTGCAATAAAATAACACAATATAAAACCATCAGACTTGATAGAGGAGGTTATCTGACTTCACTTTCTGCGTGACACTCTTGTTGCATTAGAATTAAAAGAAGATTGCAAACACTGCTCAACACACTGTCACGTGTACAGGGAAACATGGCCTCTCGTTAAAATGAAGAAGCGCTCTGTCTTCAGGGATTGCTGACTTTGTCATGTGCCCAGGGTGCTTTCTCCGGCCACCAGCTTAAAAATAACAAAGTCTTTATTCCCTTTTTGAAATATAAGGGGAAAAACAACATTTACACTGAAATCATATAAGATAGCTATGTGTTTAAATGTTAAGAGATTAGGTGTAAGCAATTAATTGACAAGACTGGAATGTCTTTATTTCCTTGTAAGCCTAATTTGATTAACTTCAGCCCCAGACAGCTAACTGTGCTGTGTATTGTCAGTACAATGTGAGATTGTCACCATTTACGTCAGCATACCAAGTGCACCCAATCTCCACTGTTCTGGAGGTCAACCCAGTTTAGCAATGAGTCTGCTGTCAGCCCAACAGAGAAATGAAAGAATGAATAAAAATACCATATGCTGTGTTAATGAGGTACTGTTTTCAATCTCATGCAGTATTAACAGGCTAATTTAAAGCAGCGACTCACAAATCTGTTAATGGTGTAATATGCTCTGCTTAACAGATGGAAGAATCTTTTCACTGTCTGGGAATTTTACAGCTTCACCCTTTATGTCTTTATCAAATCCAGAAAAAGCTGTAAAATGGTCATAACTTGTTTGTACTTTGTCTTAATCAGCAACAGTTTCTTTTAAATGTGAATTTGTGAAGATATGATTGGTTCATACGTTGGAATATATCACGCAAACCGCAACCCACACGTTTTCACACCACCTGTCTCTTGCCTTCCATGCACTCCATGGTGGATCTTTGATTGGTGCTTCGATTTAAAATCAAAACTTAAAGACATGGAAGAGAGTGACTTCATTGTTTGTAAGTCTGTCCAATTCCCCACAAGCAGCTGTTGGGTTCATGTGCTTGATGTGGAAAAATCCTTAGGAGCTGGACTGGTATGCGGGGCCGCCAGCTGTTCTGATAACAGTTGGAGTTTGTCATTGTGGTTTTTACTGTTCCTTGCTTATCAGACTGTGACAGTGGCACGTGCATGCAGTCTGGCAATATTTACAGTTCCCCAAAAGTAGTGGAATCCTCCAGAGTGTGTAGTCATATCGTAAAACATTGTGATGTTCAATATGAATTAAGTCAGCATAATGTATTTCATATCAAGTTTTTGTTCACAACTTTGTGTAGTTCTTTTATTATGGATGTATGCCTTTAAAAAAGAGCAGCTCAACAGTTGATTTCTGTTTCAGCATAACAATATCCCAAAATATGTATGCTCAATGAGTATATATTATTGATGTAAATAGAGTTGTTTTAGATTGGGGATAAAAAAAGACACAGAGGTCATGCAGAAACTTAAGACTCCTCATGGTCCCACCCTACATTCTGTCTCTCTAAGGCCACAGACACACATGCGTGAAATTAACATTTGTGAATATTCGCCCTCCCATTTAATTCCATTCAATGTGAGGGAAGGGGGTAATAAAGCATTTGCTTCTGGTGTCAAAGCAAATTAGCATCTTCGCATCGAATGGTTGGAGTTCAGTTTCAGTAAACGTTGACCGGCAAAGTTGCAGCCGCAACTGATAGCAAAGAAGTATGTGTGGTTGGTTGGCAGTGAGTCAGAAGATGGGTATGGAACAAAAGAAAATGGAAAAGTAGCAATAACAACATATGTCGTGTTATTTATTAGCAAGCAAGCTAACAAATAAAACCATTGTTTAACTCAAAAGGACTACACATCCACAAACTGATTTCCATGTGTGTCCCATTCAGCACTGCACACATTCAGCATGAATACTGCTTCAGCAGGCGATGGTCACACACCTGCATTCTGTCAGTGTGACTGCGCCCATATGCTGTTTTTTGCAACTTGCAATCGGTGGCATCAAACTTTCAGCACAGATTGTGTTTTGCAAGCATTGCTTTGCTTAGTCAGTTACCAAAAATGCTGCCAATTATTTTTCCAATAATCAACTAATCATTTCAGCTCTATTCATTTTTTTTAAAAAAAAAAGTTGCTCAGTGGGAGTTTAATGGAGATGTTGTGTGTTTGTTGTGTTTTACAACTGGACATCCAAGGCAGTGATGAGACAGCTGTAAGTGCTGTCGTAGGGCTAGAAAGGTGTTAACTTTTGTAAAAACAAGGATATCTTGCTTCAGCATTCTTGTGTTTCAGTAACACAGTGTACCAATGCACTGACTGTGAGTCAGTTTTACTTTAATCATAATGAGCCGAGCATCTTTGTGTCTGTGGTTTTATTTAACTTAACACAATTTATAACTGCAAATATTATTTACCTAGATTTCTGGATTATTTTGATGTTTTCCACTTTTTCCAGACCTAACTTTGACATTTACAGAAGAAACACTGCTGTAGAAAAACATCATCTACAGATGGTGTTTCCTAAAGTCAATTAGCTCTTCTTAAACGCTCTATTTCATCCAGTCCATGTTGGTAGCCTGATATCCAGTTGTCTCATGGCCAGGCCTAGGGGAGCCAGTTTAACAACTTCCTCCTGAGCTGGTTTAGGCTCAGTAAGACACAAAGTGTCTTTTATCTCGTTCTCCTCCAGTGTTGTGCATTTTGACTTGTTCTCAGGGTTATTTGTGACCAGGAGTTGACCAGTAGCTGACCTTTAACCTTTTAAGGACCATGTGCATTGCAAAGCCTGTTTGTCATGTTTGAGCATCTTTTCACTGGGTAATGCTTTAGTATTACTTGTCCTTGTCATATGCCTTTTGTAGAATGGTTCAATGGTAGCGATACAGGATATTCAGAGTTTTGCATTATTAGTGAATGTGTTAACCTAAGTTCTGCCTTTTTAAAGTTAAGTTCCTCGCCCTCTATTTAAGTGACATTTATTGAGGGCATGGTGCTCCCTCCCATGATTTGGCTTGCACTCTGCCCTCATTGTATTTCCGCAGATCAGCATTTTGTACATCTCCGGCAAACTGGTAACATGTGCAAATCACCCTCTTCATTCTGGTATAAGGTGCAGAGCTGAGCACACACAGACCACAGCCGTGACTCACAACCATAACATTTGTCACTTTTTCTATGTTACATAGCAAACAAACCTCATACTGTTACAGTCCTAGCTAGTGTGGTAACATTTCATGTTAGCTGCAACAGAGGAATGAATGGGTGGTTGTTTGGGGGATTTACACAGTGTCTGTCTTTTGAAATCTGCTTTGATGTTATGAAACTTGTCTCATCACTTTCCATTCAAACAAGCCACAGTGCTGGAAACCTACAGTGCATGTGACACCCTTTATGCTTTGTCTGTGGGCAGATTTTAAGAGACAGCGCACATGTTTATCAAGAACCCTGCTTTTGGTTTGATACAGTCTGCTGTAGTGGTGTTTTTACTATTTGTACAAAAGGGACACATGGGAACACTTTGGTGTTACAAAAATACATTGCACATATTACCATTGTCTTTCCTTTGTATATTAGATATAATCTCTATAAATGTATATCTGCAAATGTATATAGAATTTGGAGACAATGGGGCAAGATCATGGTATCACAAGTGTTCAGTTTGTAGTCTGAGTAGTATTGATGAATCAAATTTGAGCAGCAGGTAAACAGTCCCTGTGGAGAGGCAGAATGCATTAGCCGAAAAGCAATTTTGGAACCTATTTAGCTTTATACTAGCTTCTTTTGAATTTATTTGCAGATATCCGTTCATAGAGAAGCCGAAATGCACCCACTGAAGAGGAAGTCTTGGCCCAGATATCTGCTTGTTATACCAGATCTTAAGAAATATTGTCCATTGCCTCCAGAGCCTTTACTGTTGTCAGACCACTAGCTTAGCCATTGGGTTCAGAGATTGTATTAGACATAGCCAGTAGAGTTGTGCATAAATGAATACCAAAATCCAGAAATGAGTTAGCATTTTAACACTCATGATCCCCTCCCCTCAAAGTTATTGGGTTTTTGGTTAGATGCCTGAAATAAGTACTGCGCTTAACGCAAGCTTAAGAGACTTTCAGGCTTTGTTCAACTGTATAAATGACGTCAGTAAATAACCCACTCGAGAGTTTTGAAGCCTTAACGTGTCTTAAAGACAGTTGCCAACAAGAGGCCAAATGACACTACGGAGTGTCATCACGCCGAATATGACTTTACAGCCTCATTGTTTGTAGCAATGTTGAAGTCACACAACCCTGATGGCTTTTCACTTCTGGCTATTTCATTTATACTTCAAAAATCCTAAAAGTAGAGTTCATTTGTGAAGATTATTTTGCTGAACAAAATGTGTAAGTATCATATTTGACACAGTGCTTATTTTCTGCATTTCTAAAAATTCAATGGAAAAATCCTGTTAGCTTTTATTTGAGGGAACCAGGGTGATTCTAACTTCTGTGTTAGTCTACAAAAAAAAGTCATCCCTTCAGCCTTCTATTCTACACAGTTAAAGGGGAAATAGATTTACATTTTTGTAGGTAGACTGTTAAATCTACACAACTGTAGTGTTAAGTGGTTCATTACGTCAACAGGGATATGCAGTTGTGGGGTATCAAAGATTCCTGTAGTCAGCTTAAGCCAAAGAAGATCTTACAAGCATGATCAATGACAAGGTCACTCCATGCATATGGATGTAACCAGTACGTACAGATGCTGTTGACTCAGGAGGACTGTAAAATGGGACAGTTATCCACTGGAGTGAGGTTTTTCCTCTTTAATTTCTAGTCATGGTTCGAACACAAACTTGGTCATCACTGCTGTCATCCTGAAGCCCAATAGGCGAACTGTGTTGTTTCAGCAGACAAAAGAATGGCCTCCCCTTGTGCTAGTAATTACAGAGCAGAACTGTCACAGACCTGTTATTATTTAAGAACCAAGCATCTTCCAGTGCTTAAGGGCTTATGTGAATTTTGCCAACCCCTGCACATTTTCCCCCTTCAAGCACATTCGGAGAAAGAAAAACTTTGGTGTGGGGTGAATGCATTGTCCCACCACACATGGCCTGGTGTTTTCGAATGCCCAAAAGGGCAATTCAGTTTCTGTTGTGGCTGTTCAAGCACACATTTGGTTGGGAATGATTGATTAAGGGCTTTCTGCCTCTTTTGAATGTCATCACTAAAACTGCCTTGCAAAAATGAGCTCATGTATCCCATGCTCTAGGCGGTTAGAGACAAATATTGCCTGTGGATTATGCGCAAAATGATAGTTTTTCATCTATATATCAGTATTTTTCAATAATGTTATATTCGGTGTGTCTTTGATCTTGAAAACAAATAACATAGAAAACAGCAACCACTGAAGAACCTTGTTGTGAGCTTTAATCCATGCCTCATCATAGGATTATGAAATGGCTGTTTAGGCCTTCCTGTTTTCCTACCAATATAAGCAGTGGTTAGAACTATAAACACCCCAGGGCGACGGTGATTCTCCAGAGTGCCTCAGTGCTGCTTCAGCTCATCAGTACCTCAGGAAGGATGTGGTGGAAGAAATAAAGCTTACACAGGACAAACTTCCTGTCTTCCTTTAGCTCAGCTAGATCGGACTGTTTTCTAACTGCCAATTGATAGCATCCATTCATTTAACGCCCATTAATTTCTCTAAATTAAATTCAAACCTTCACTCAGTCGTGTTTCTTCCTTGTCCTAGGTGGTGTCTGATGCTGCAGGCCAGGGGGTCACTATAACTGGCAGCAAACCCTTCAACAACTGGAACTGGCCAAATGCTGTTATCTTTGCCGCCACTGTTATCACCACTATCGGTAAGTACTTCTGAAGGTTTAGCAGCAACAGCAACATGATACTCTTGGAAAATACATGCACTGAGCTGTCAGGCAGACTTTTAGAGCTCTTACTTTTTTTCAAAGGGACAAACTTGTTTGCAGACAAGTATGTATAAATCACAAACAGGAAACAGATGAGATGGACTCTGATCAAGACAACCTGTATCCGTGGCTTTGTTTTTGTAATTTCCTTCTCCTCCTGTAAAGCTATACTAAAGAGACGTAAATAGTTGTACATGGTTGACACATCCTAACCCTAACCACTTTGTTTTACTTTTACTTTTTAAAGGATATGGGAACATTGCCCCTAAAACGTCAGCAGGCCGTGTATTTTGCATCTTCTATGGGCTCTTTGGTGTGCCTCTGTGTCTTACCTGGATCAGTGAGCTAGGAAAGTTCTTTGGTGGCAGAGCCAAGCACCTGGGCCAGTATCTAACCAAGAAAGGATTTTCACTGGTGAGTTGATATGAGCTTTTTTCCCACCTCTGAGAAATAACTTGCACCTTTTTGTGGTATTACAAAACTTTTTTTTTTCTTTTCCAGAGAAAGGCTCAGTTTACCTGCACAGCCATATTTCTGCTCTGGGGTGTGCTGGTCCATTTAGTCCTTCCACCTTTTGTGTTTATGTCCCAAGAGGGTTGGACGTATATTGAAGGCTTATACTTCTCATTTGTTACCTTGACCACAATTGGTTTTGGGGACTTGGTAGCAGGTAAGCTAAGAAATAAATTACTTTGATTGAACCAATCAAATTAAAGCAGGCCAGAACTCTGGATCCAAGTGACCGTTGACTATTTTGTTTGTCCTTGCAGGTGTGGAACCAGATAAAGAATACCCAACTCTGTACCGTTACTTTGTGGAAGTGTGGATTTATCTGGGGCTGGCCTGGCTTTCTTTGTTTTTCAACTGGAAAGTGCGGATGGTGATCGAGGCCCACAAGGCACTGAAGAAACGCCGCAAGCTGCGCAAGCTATCTCTTGATGAGCTCCGGCACTACAAAGAGTCTCACAAGGCTGCCCTCAGTTTGCCACCCACTCCTAATGACGTTAACATCTTCAGCTTCCTGTCCAAGAAGCAGGAAGGCTACAATGACTTGATTAAGCAGATTGGCACCAAAAAAGATGGCAGAAGGAACGGCGTTAGTGCCAACACCATCAATAAATCCAAAGATATTGCTCGTTCCCAGAGTTGCAATGACGCTCCTATGTTTAATGGTCACACCATCCTTAGTCTGGACCGTTCACCACGCCAGAAGAGACGCTATAGCTTCAGTGATCGCGTCACTGTTGCTTTTTCAAAGTCCAAGAACTACCTCCTGGGCTCAGACAATGGTTTGCTGCTAACAGAGGACCAAGTAGAGGGTGATCTAGAACTTGACCAAGGCCAAATGTATGAGAACCAGCTTGACAAAGACGTTGACCTGGAGAACGTAGGTGTGGGAGATTGTGGAGCAGGTGGTCGAAGGGCATGGGACTCAAAGGAGTACCATCCCCTAACGTTCCAAAATGCAAACATTACTTTTATAGATGAGGAGAACTTTCTCAGCAATAACTTGGAGGAGGAAGAAGAAGATGATGATGATGATTCAAAAGCAAAGCTTTCCATTACTACATGTGATGAAAACATTGAAACAAACTCCAAGGAGGAGCAGAGTTCTGAATCTGAAGGGTCTGTGTTCACTAGTGACGGTTCAGAACACAGCCACTCCTATGAGAAACTTGTAGAGGAGTATGCAAAGGAAGAAAACACAGAATCTTGAACTATGTGAAGTCAACACATCTTCCTGGTCCTCTGTTGTTGACTATGTTGGCATTGAAGTATATGTATTATAATGTGAATTGTTTAAAAGAATATCAGAAGTCCTGTTGCACTTATGGGGGTCTGATATTGAAAGACTGCAAAGCCGAGATCAAATTTCAAATGAATGTTCTTTTTATAGCTGAGAAAAGAAAATCCACATCTAATGACTGTTGAAGGTGGAGCTGCCTATGAACTCTTGAACAAACATGGATTACAGAGCATGACATGTAACCCCATGAGTATTTAACATCTACTCTATTTATGTCTTTTTATACGGTTTGAAAAACTATACCCCACACATTTTTTGTAATGTCCAAACCAAGAACTATTCACTATTAGTGCTTTTGCTTTAGATTAAGAAACTATGTTGAAGTGTACTTGATTCCACATAGTTTGTTCTATGTATATTCACCATATTGGTGCTTTTATAATATTTATTAAAATGAAGGGCATAGTAGCTTTTAATCAATGGCTACATGGGTTTATATGTCTCCTATTGCACAATTCCACCAAACGAGGACAGTTCAAAGTCCATTTCAGTGCAGACTGTCTTTGTAGAACCTGAGCCAAACGTTTGTCCTTAAAGAAAATGAAGGGGGTTAAGGGCCAAATCTCGTTCTTTTTTTCCTTTGGTATTTCACTTGTTTCTTTTGTGAAGTCCTTGGTAACTTGTTTTGTCTGAGATTTCTGTGTGTTTTGACTGTAAGCAATAGAATTGTGACTGCACTAGAGGTTATCAGTGATTCATAGCAAAATCCGGGGGTCTAGAACCAGCTGAAAGTATAGTTGGAAAGGAAAATCATTAATTTTAAGAACAGAGAAGCATTTATGGCAAATCTGCATCTCCTGCCAGAGGGACACTGTAAGCTGAGATTTGTTTGACTATTTTAAACACTTCTGTTCCAAACTTTGACTGCTGTAAAAAAAAAAACATGTGCTTTGGAAATGATCCTTCCATTGTGACACACACTAGACGCCTCTCAGAATAACCTCAAATTGGTTTAGTGAGCACATACTTTATTGTTGTTTTGCTGCTGACAGCATGTCAAGTGTCAATCTGTGGCTTCTGGGCAGTCTACCATGGCAGTGCATAATGGGAACTCTTACAGCAACAATATTTTCACTTTTTGTCTCTTTAGCACCCTTTCACTTCATTGTATTTGTCATGTAAATATTGTCTGGAAGCCCATCAGTAGCCACAAATGCAGCTCTGCTCAGGACATGGCCTTGGTGCTCATGTTTGCCTATGGGGGCTTGCACTAGCATGAAAGACTGAAGCACCGCTCATGACAGGCATCCAAGGTTAACTTGCAACAGATCGATACTCTCTTGACGTATGTTTCAGCCATGAGACACCAAGTCGTCAGTCTGTGTGCTCTCAATTACTGTATAGTATTCCTCCCTTGTTTCATGTGAACACAAAACTCGAGAGACCATTATATGTCCATTGCTTTTCAGAGTCTCACTTTTGAAAGGGCCCTCAGTTACCCTGCTCGCCCGCTGCCTTTTGCACATGTTAGCTTGCACACAAAAACTTGAAACAGTGTTACTTTGAATAGTAAGATGGCAGTGTCACAAAGGGCTCCTTCAATTTTGAACTCCTCATTCAAGCCAGTTGAACAGTAACCTGTAAATATAGTCCAATGTCTGTAGGGTTTTTCTTTTGTGAACAGACCACACCTGAACTCCTAATTCTGCCTTACAGATGACTGCTGTGAAGTGACAATGCCTTAAATCCACTGCAAAGCAGGGGATGTACAGTACAACCTGACATCTATTGAATGTACTTAAAATGGTTCACTGAAAGATTACATTTTTGTTTTTTTTCCCATCTATTGTTTTGTCACAGAGCCACCACTGAAGCCTTACGTGGACATTCCTCTTTCTCTGTTTTTGCAGGTTTTCCTTGATATGTAGGTTTAGCATTGTTATATAGCCATGGTACTTGTCTGGACTGAATTTCAAGTTTGTCTTTAGATTATTAACTAAATATAACAGGTTAGGCTGGTTTAACCCATTGTCTGTAGCTTTTCTCTTAATGTTGCTCCATTGTGTAAAACTCCAGTAGAGTTGTGTTTTTGGTTGTCTTTTTTTATCGTTAAATTATTCATGTTTGTAAAAGTTTGCATGTGACTTTCAAAGGAAACAATATATTTCATGTAAATAAACATTTAATAAAACTTGAGTGTTTTTTGTGATCCAATGATTTTACACAAGGTTCTGTTAAAGCCTTGATCATACAGATCAGTTCATACAGATGTGGACAACTGAGTTGCAGACGGACAGCAGACATGCTTCTCTAAGTACTACATGAATACCACAAAACATGATTCAACATTCAATATTTTATCAACGTGGTTGATAGGAATTTGTTGATTGTCATTTCTCACTTAAAGACTAATACAGTAAAATCACTCATGAACATACTACGTTAAGCAAAATAAAAACACATAAGTAGTATCCATATCCATAAAGTAATGATAAAAGCATGAAACAATTGGGTGAAGTCAGGCCCAGCATATTGGAGGACATTAAGAAATTAAACAAAACCTAGCACCTGTAGGGAACTTAGCAGCACATCAACTGACCCTCTAGGTAAAGTGCTATAAGTGCATAAAAAACACCTGCCCTATTGCACAATTATTTAACCATCTGAGTGGCCTGCCATGCCATTATAAACATAAACAGACCTTTAGACATAAACATACAGCTGATACACAGATGCTCAAGACCCTGTTTTCATTGTGTTAGCTGCAGCTGTGCATTAAACATGACAGCCAACCTTTTTCTCCAAATAGAGGTTTTCTGCATTGACGCCAGATTGGCGATCATTTTAGTCAGTATTTCACACAGAGGACATTTTGTATTTTCTTCTTCCTGTACATATGTCTGTTTCTGCAGGCGTTGTCAGCAGGGCTGGGCTACATCCTGGAGACAAGCTTGCTGAGAGCCAATGTCATCCACTTCAAGAACGCCTAAGAGAGGGAAACAGGTGGTGGTATATGAATAGTTACAGGAGATAGCTATGAGTGAGAGGGGGAAATCAGTGACAGGGGAGTTGCCTGTCGATTCCCTCAGAACCACAAAATGGAATTTTTAAGAAAAGAAAAATAGAAGCACTTCTAATGACAGGCTATTTACAGTACTCTCCTAATTTTTTTTTTGTAGTTTAGGAGAGCGTCAGCTGCCCAACCAGAAACCAAGATTAACCCTTTAACGTCCTGCCCAACTGTTTGGTAGAGCACATTCTGAGTTACGACCGTTTAATGAAAAATGTGTTTAATTTAACTCAACCTTATTGAGCTATCTCTACCATCTGATTTAGGTATGTTGCGCTAAAAAAATCCATTAGATGTCACTACAGGCATTTCTCAATCAGCGTTCTTGCCTGTATTTGTGCTCTTGCTGACTTGTGAAACGTCATTAGTTGCAGCCCAAGTACTGTTCCAATTCAAAGTCCGCATCCAGCCAAGTACAGTCCAAATGCCCGGATGTGAGCTTGCTCTGCTCGTTCTATCAGGGATGCATCGGGAGGTGACTTGTGTGGACTTTTGACAGCTAGGTATCCCAGTATGCATTTCTCACAGACCAGCGGCAATGGCAGCCGTCCTTGGGAGTTTGTGCTCTCGAGTCGAACTTGCCAAGTCCGAACTTGGCGTACTTGGTATTGAGAAACACCTTGTGTCTGTAAAGAGTTTGCCCTTTCAGTTTGCCTTCTACAGGAAGTTAGTAATAGATAAAAGTCACTCCAGCCGTGAGGGCTCTGTATGGTGGGATTTTCACAGGTAGACGTAATTTTTGACATTTTATACTCTCTGAGGTTTTATTGAATGGATTTATTTAGTGTTATACAAAAAATAAAAGTCCAATAAGGGTCAAATAATTTTTTAAAAACATGCACTGTCAAACGATTGATTTGGCCTTTTATAGTGACCGTAGCTAAGCTAATGTAATTAAAACTGAGTATTTGCTAAGAAATAAAAACATCTTGTAATTACACCTTGTTTTTAAATTATACATTTAATGCTGTCCATATGTATGATGAAATAATTTTCAAAGTACAATTTCCAGTTGAATTGTCATTTTATGGTAAAGGTAGTGATGCTAATATAAAAAAAAATATTTTTTTGTGAAATAAAAACATGAATATTCACAGCTGTTATAGCATATATATATATATATATATATATATATATATATGTATGAAAACACAGCAATTTTTGCTATGTTTTTAGAGTACTCTAATGGTAAAAATATATACATTGATTTTTATTATTATAGCCCCAAGGAAATAAAAAATGCAAGGTTGCAATGTAAAATGTCTCCATTGCTTTCTTCTCAGTGAGATCATTGAAGGGTAAGGATATGTGTCATTTCCCTAAGGCTTCTCCTTTTATTCATTCATTCATTCATTCATTCATTCACTACGCCTTCATTCAACATGTCGTCATTGATCTTGTTACTCAGTAAAGGTAAGCATATGTTGTTTGTTGTTAGTCATGTATTACTGAATTTTACTCACGATACCAGCATTAGAATCAATTTAGATTACAAGGACACCATAATAAAAGCACTTGTACAACATGTGTAATCTGACACAGGTGTACAGTCCTCACTCAGTGTCAACTAGTTCTCGTGCAAAATGTGCATTACCTTGTTATCATAGTGACACCTGGCATCGCTCATTATTTACACAAACTTCAAGGTCACGCTGTCAGACAAGTGAGCTACACTGCAACAGCAGCTGATATGCAACGCTGGAATCCAAATAATGAGTAATATTCTACACAAGCAGGGTGAATTTCCACACATTATCTGTGCTTGTTTATGATAGGTATCATTAAGTGACTGGAATGTGGGTGAATTTTAAGATGCATGGAGCCAGTGGAGCCGGGCTGTTGACATATCCTGATTTGCCATAAAGTCGCAGGATTGGCGTGTGCAGAACAGTCAGCTGTTATTGGCAAAGGTGGAAAATTAACACTAATGCCTGAATGGATTCAGAGGAATAACCTTTCCTGATCCCACCCTGAGTGATGCATTTACCTCTGCCTACATTAATGTTTTACATGCATTTAGAAAGATATTAAATTGGACAGCAACGCACTGATATATTAAAAACTTTCTGAACTGCATCTTAGTCTGATGGCATGTGACACACTGAACTACAATGGAAACAGATTTCATTGCATTTCCACCGTCAATGTTTCACTAGAATGGGTGGTTTTCAAGAACCTTCGCCCTCATAAATGTTAACTGATGATGGCCACTGAACCAAACTAAAGAGACGGCTCACTGTGAAAATGTGCTGAGCCTGGTGGAAACCAGAATGTCTCCAGTTACTGTGGGATTCCAGGCACAACATACATCAATCATCTATTATGTCTTCAAGTTCCTCACTGAAGTGTGATCCAGTATGTGCAGATAAATTACTATGGATGTTGAGGACATTGTTGTTTAATAACCCCAAATTTAACAGGTATTTTTAGGGCTTTTTTGTGCTTTTACAGTAACGAGACCACCAGAAGCAAGGTAGAGAGATGCAACAGAGGTCCTTCGACTCAAACTTCTTGTGGTGCCACTCATGGTCACCATCTTAAAAGTAATTTTTATAATATTAATAATAATAATAATAGTAATGTATTAAATGACAGTGTGAAACAACTTCGATCTCTGTGATGAACCTGCTGAGAATTAGTACCTGAACCTTCAGCTCTCCTCGGCCTTACGGAGCTTTATGTGACTTCAGCTCATTGTTCTAAACTTTACAGTTCTGGTCCACTCTCAGCACACACATAAGTCATTTTTCCACTTAAATCAGTACATATATGCAGTTTTTTTTAATGCATTTTCTTTTTTTCTGGTGAATGTGCAGAAAAACAGGGTAAGTAAACAGTACAAGGCAGCAGGGAGGCCAGTGAAAATGTTATGTCTTTTATCTGTTACTATTCAGTCTCTCTTTCAGACCTGATGCTGACTAATTTGGAATTAGGTTCAAGCACTGCTTGGATGGAGACAGACAGAACTTGTAGGGGTGCGTTATTGTGCCAGAAAAGGGGGGAAAATCAGTCCATCCGTCTTTGTGTCATGTTTCTGTCACTGCCGATCAGAGCCAATAGGAGCTGGGACAGATAAATACCCTACCTGTGACTCCTGCAGAGTAATTTGCCGCAGGAATGAATACTGATTGTAAAAATTAGATTTCAGTGGGGTTTTGTCCAGTGGGGAAGAGACTATATTGTCAAAAGCTCTACAAACCCACTGAACACTACCTGCTCAGCACCAAACAGCAGACAGACAGTTAGTTGGCGAACATAGTGGAACATTTAGCAGCAAAAGAGCCAAATACTTCTCCCAGGAGTTGGTAAAGACTGGGCTTAAAGAAAGTTAATATTAGACTTACATTTGCAGTGTAGCCACAAACACAGCTGCAAATGAATGATGTTGCCTCATAGCTACTGGATGTGTACATAAGCAAGTGTTTGCTAATGCTTTACCACATCAACTTAAAGGTGATCTTGAGCTAGACGAACTTGCAGTGGCCTCTCTAAAATGAGCAGGGATAAAGGTTTCTGTTATGATCGAGTGGTTGATGATAAGCAGACAGCATGTGTGCACTAGCTAGTTGAAAACTTGTCTCCTGCCACATTAAATTATATTATGTAGGATGTCTCCACAAGTATAAACCAAGGAAAACAGGCCAAATCCACACTTGACAAACGCAATTCTTAAAATGTCCTTATGACAATGCATTATTTTCCCATAATTCAGTTCATGTAAGCCTAACACACACTCCTCTATTTGAACATCCAGCCACAATAATAGCCTAAATATCAAGATTCTAATTAACTGGAGACAAAACTTTTTTTCCTATTGCACGTAGATCATAAATCCTTGACCAGGCTATAAAAATGACTCATTGAAATCGGTTGAGAAATGTAAACATCTTGCTCTCTTTAATTCGGCGGGCATGGTGATGTATGATCCAGCAGCCAATGAGGCATCTATGTTTCCATGTCTATGGCTTGAACTCTTTGAACTAGATAAATTTGTGGCCATGCAGATCATATGGCTCATAGTAAGAAGCTGATTGAGAGAATAGGTTTTCAGGGCCTTTAATCATGGTGACAGATTTCAAATGCTGAGGACAGCAAAATATTTGCGCCCTTTTGGGGGAATTAATGC